CAAAGCCGTGGAGCACGCCTGCAGCGGTACAGCCCGGGCGCGCTTGAGCTGTCCCCCTGCGGGCGTGCTCCGCGGCTTTGCTCCCCGTTTCCCGATCAGCAGACCAGGGAGATGGGGAGCAAAGCCGCGGAGCACGCCGGCAGCGGGACAGCCGCGGCGCGTCTGGGCTGTCCCGCTGCCCGCGTGCTCTGCGTCTCCCTGGTCTGCTGGAGACCAGCAGACCAGGGAGATGCGGAGGACCCGGGCGGTGGGACCGTGGTGCGTCTCGGTCTAACATTAGGGATGTTAGAGTTAAACTGATTAACTGGTTAATGTCATTGGTTAAACTCTGCCCTGCTCCAAGGAAGTTGACTTCGCTGCAGCAGCGGAGCCTCTTCCCAGGGAGTGGAACTGGAAGCCCCTCCCAGCCTGACTCTCAAGAGATGTGGCTTCACTATGGCAGTGAAGCCCCTCCCTCGAGCGGAGCCGGTAGCCCCTGTGGCCCGGCTCCTGGGGAAGCGGCTTTGCTGCGGCAGTATTTAAGCTTTATATTGCAGAACCTATAATGTGTGTAACTACTGAGATTTTTAGTGGTTACACAGTTATCTTATTAAACCACTTTTAACTAGAGAATTAAATTGGTTATTTTAATTACCATGTAACCACTAAAATTTTTACTTATTACACAGTTACTAGGTGTTCCCTATATCAGAGGCAGCAGCACAAGGGGCGGCAGGTGGGAGCTGGTTTAAAAACCTGTATCAGAGGCAGCAAGCAGTGCACGGTAGCAGGCAGCTCCCCATGCATGCTCTTCATTTAAAACTCAGATTGACAGGCTGGGGACTGAGCCAGCCTGCTAGTCTGAGTTTTAAATGCAGAGCACATGGGAAGGGGGCGGGGAGTTTGCTGCGGTTAACCGGGACTGGTAAGCATTAAGCAGTCACTTGTGGATTAACCCGTTACCTGAGCAGCTGCTAACATCCCTACTTTTAACATCCCAAGTCTGCATATATGAGGGTATGTCTACACTACCCCGCTAGTTTGAACTAGCGGGGTAAAGTAGGCATACCGCACTTGCAAATGAAGCCCGGGATTTGAATTTCCCGGGCTTCATTTGCAAGTGCGGCATGCCTACATTACCCTCCTAGTTCGAACTAGGAGGGTAATGTAGGCATGCCGCACTTGCAAATGAAGCCCGGGATTTGAATTTCCCGGGCTTCATTTGCAAGTGCGGCATGCCTACATTACCCTCCTAGTTCGAACTAGGAGGGTAATGTAGGCATGCCGCACTTGCAAATGAAGCCCGGGATTTGAATTTCCCGGGCTTCATTTGCAAGTGCGGCATGCCTACATTACCCTCCTAGTTCGAACTAGGAGGGTAGTGTAGACATACCCTGAGATATGCCACTTTTTTGTTCTCTTTGTATTCACTGTGGACTTCCCTGAAAGTCTCTCAGCTGGCATACAAAGCTGCAAGGCCTCTCCTAACAACCCCTAATGTAGAGCATATGAAGCAGGCATAATCAGAGCCTACTGTGCTTTGCAGTACCATTACTAGATGATGAATTTTAGAGCAGCACCAAGGAGTCTGTAACCAGCATAGTCAAGAGAATTAGGGATCCATGATGGCCTCTCCTCTCTGCTGTATGCAATTTCTGTAGGACACAGTAGAGAATCAGGGCTCTTGTGAATGGCAGGTTGGAGACAAATTACAATCAAAATGGAATCTAAGGACAGATTTCAGTTCACCCTGAATGAAAGCAGAAAAGGATTCAAGCTGATTCTCTCTTGATTTTCCTCCAGTTAATGTACCTAATTGATCACTGTCAAAATATATACGTTGCCTTGGTGTTTTAAGTTATATTTGCAGGAGATAATAAAAATAAAATTCATCTATGAGATCTAGCTTTTCTTGCTTCTGGAGCGATAAATTAGTGTCTCTGAACCTACATTAGCCTTAAATTTATCTCTGACAAAAACATGTTTAAAATTCAGGACTTTATTGTGCTCATATCTTTTTAAGTAGATCAGTTGATTTCACACATTTTTTTATTAAAAATTGACAAAATGATATGGCCTTCAATTTAATTCATATAATAAAACAAAATTTATGAGACATTCGCTCTTAAACTGTAGCCTAATCTGCAGAGTTCTCACTGTCTCTGTAGGCTGTTCTCACTGTACGCTGTCTAGATTACATCCCTCTTTTGACAGAGGGATGTAAATTAGGCACTTCGAAGGATCTTTCGAAAAAGCCTTCCCTTTTTGAAAGAACCATGTCTAGACCGTGGTTTTACTTTTGAAATAGTGCTTTTTTGAAAGAGCGCCATTACGTGATTATGCAAATGAAGCACGGGAAATTCAAATCCCGGCTTCATTTGCAATTTTGAAGTGCCTAATTTACATCCCTTTGTTGAAAGAGGGATGTAATCTAGACACAGCCCAAGGTATGAAAATACATCCCCGCATCTCACACCCATTTATATCAGGACTTTGAGTGGCTGTATTTGTATCTTCATTTATTTGACTAACACAAATCATCCAGTCTCTGCACTGTTGTATACAAAAATCACAGAAGCCTTTCTTAAATTAAAAATAGTAAGGTGCTCTATGAATTTTTTTGTGGTGTACTCAATATTTCCCGCAGTTGCAGCTGTAGCTCAGGAATGAGCTAGTCATGTTCCTACAGGCAACCCTGGGATTGGAAGCTATTAGT